GGGGGGGGTGAAATGGCGGCCGCGGCCATGAGGGCGGAAGCGGCCCGAACTCGCCCGCCTCCCTGGTGCGGGCCCGGCCTGGCGCCGCCGCGGGGGCTCCCGCCCCGGCCCCGCCGACGCCCTCCGGTTCACTCCGGCCGTTCGGCCCCCATTGTGTGCCGCGGGGTCGGGCGGCTCCGGGCCCTGCCGCGCTCCCGCGGCCCGCCCGGCCCCGCCGGTGCCGACGGTAACAATGGGAGCCGCGCTCCCGCCCCGCCGGGCTCCTCACGGGCCGCCGGGCCCGCTGCCGGCACCGCTCCTCGGTGGCGCCCCGGGGGCCGTGGCCGGGGTGGGCCCTGCGGCCCACGGGAAATCCCCGGGCGACGCCGGTCCGGGGGTCCTGGAGGAGCCCCGGTCCGCGAGCGCGGCCCGCCCTCCGGGTCCCTCCATCCCGGTCGGGGGGCTCTGCCTGCGCCCTCCGACCGGAGAGTCTCCCCGGTGGAGCGCTGCCCATCGGTACCACCACAGGGTCTCTGATGGCATATCCGGAGGTATCTCCCCACAAAAGTTCGTGCACTGCACGTGCGGGGGGTGACTCGGTCTGCAGCTGCCGTGTTTTTACTCCGGGGAAAAAACTCTCAACACCGATAACCCTCTTTTGGGTGCTTGTTCTGCCTCACAGTGCGGGAAAATCTTTCCAAATGCTCTTTGCCCTCTCTGCTCCTTTTCTCTGGGGCTTCGGAGCCTTCTGCAGTTGTTAAGTAAGCGTTGTTGGAATGGGCTGGAAATACCAATTTTTCTGTATTTAACAGATAAGGGAAACTGAGGCTGGGATGTGCCAGGACTTGCCCAGCGGCAGCCAGCAGATCTGGCACAGCCATGGGACCCGCAGATCCTGGTTCTGAATCTGTAACTTACCTGATGTTTCTAATAAAATGAACAGTTTGTTACATTTTCGTATCCCCTCTTCTTCTGGAGACTCCACACTTCACCTGTGTAGCTGAGGCTCTCCTCCCTAGGCCTGGCAGGCGGGCAGTGGTGTGGTCTGAGAAGGAAAAGGGGTAACAGCCAAGCACGTCATGTTTGATCCAGTGTCTTTGAGCAGAGGGTGTTGTAGCCTGTTGTTTTCCCTAAGCCCTGTCCAGGGCAACACTGGCCCATTGACCTGTAGCCGCCCCCTTTAATGCCAGTGCTCTGGTGTGGACTGGCTTTTGCTTTTGGTGAGGACAGCTCCAAACTGGAAAACTCTGTGCAGGCGTCGGAATAACCATGTTCCATGATTCAGTGCTGCCCCTAAGCCAGGCTCAAGTTCCCCCACTGAGGAATAAGTTATCACTAGCCAAAGTTCTCTTTCCTTAAAGCAACTGTGGAGTCTGCATGGGGACACTCCCTCACCTGACAGCCTCGGCAGGGTCAGGACCTGGCTGAGATTTCTATTGTAGATGTTTTTTGCACATTAGAGGACCCAAACACTGGTGTTACTTGTGGCAGTGATGGCAGCTGGGCAGAGCAGAGCGTGGCAGCTGCTGAACAAAATGCCTGGGTGCTGCACAAGGTTTGAACTCAGCCTGCTGGAACTGTGGCCCAGGGAAGCTGCAGGTTGGGTTCCTGTGGACATGCAGGATCACTTCCCTCTGCTGCCAGGTTGGTTTAATATGACAAAATTAATTGTGCATGGAGCTTGAAGCTGGAGGAGACATAGCGATGGTGAGCAAAAATAAGTAACATGGGGAAGAAGCCTGCACGGAGGGGATGGCTGGGGGCTGGAGGCTGTCTGCTTCCACCTCGGGGTGCTCTTCCCCCACAGCTTGGGGTCTCCTGATGGCTGCACAGGTAGCTTGGATCATTTCCTGATAAGAGACCTTGGCACTGTGTAGTAGGAATACTGTAGTATTAAGTTGCCATGAGGTGTGGGTGACTACAAAGGGGGGATTTCAGGGGTTTTGTGGGGAACTGTGGGAGCAATGGCACAAAAACTTGCCTATGGAGAAATGCTGGGCACAGGTTGGAGCTGGCACGGGGGGTATGCATCCAGTGCAGGGTAATATTGGGGTCTCCCTGCTCTCAGGAAGCATTTCTCACCCAGTCGGGTACTTGCAGACTTCCACAGGAGATTCCCCAGTGTTTCCTGGGGTGTTTGCTAATGCTGCTGCTGAGCTTCCTTGCCTGGCACACCAGGTCTCTCCCTGTGCTGCCCTGCCTGTGTACACAGGTCTGATTGTCCCACTCAGCTTTCCTCCCTGCTCTCATGCTCCATCCATGGCTCCTTCCCCTGTCCCAGGCATCTGGAACAGGCCCTGCTGCTTTGGGGGAAGGCTTCATGCTCTTGGTAATGAAACACAAAACTCTGAGTTCTGTGATTATTGAGATTTCGGGGGCTTGGAAGTTGTGAGTCCTGCCAAGTGCTGTGGGATGTCACTGGCATTCCTTGTGCCTGGAAGGTGCTAGGCAGGGTAAAATGACTCAGTGCCAATCCCCTTCTAAACCACCTCCCCTCACCTCCAGCTTGGGCTCTGCCCTGAGGCCCAGTGTGAGGTTAGAAAACTCCACTTGCTTTGGACGCTCATTGGCCTGAACTCTTCCTGGGATTTTTTGCCTCAAGCAGTTATCTAATGATGTTACTGGCTGTTCCTTGCTGACATCTAGTTCACTTTTTGGTATGTTTTTAATCTAGAATACTCAGAACAAGAAAACTTAATATTTCCAGTTTGGGGGAATAACTGAAGCATGCAAAAATAGGCAGTTCGGCAAGGGCAGGTTTTCTTTAAAAAAAAAATCCATAGGCCTGTAGCACCACTTATTCCTGGAGTGGTTTTGCTTCCCCTGCTCTGCTTTGAAGGCAAGAAAGGAGAAGGGGAAGTAGTTGAAGTGTCTGAGGCTCTGAGTTGCTCTGTTCTTCAAGTGAAGTTTCTTTGGTGCTTTCTTCAAGCATTCCTGCTCCGTTTGATGGCCACAGACTCACCATGAGCTCATGGCAAATCCGTACTCGCTCACACGTGTGTTTCAACAGCAAGTCGTTAAACCCTTTGCCCCAAGTCCGGGAAATGGCTTCAAACTGAAGGAGGGTTGATCTAGATTAGCGAAGGAAGAGGGTTTTTTACAATGAGGGTGGTGAGACCCTGGCACAGATTGCCCAGAGAAGCTGTGGCTGCCCCATCCCTGAAAGTGTCCAAGGCCAGGCTGGATGGGGCTTGGAGCAACCTGGGCTAGTGGAACATGTCCCTGCCCATGGCAAGAGGTGGGACTGGATGAACTTTAAGGTGCCTTTCAACCCAAACCACTCTGACTCTGTGAATCTGCTTTGCTCCTGAGGCCCAATTGCTCCCATCTGGATGCAGGAAGTGTTTCATTTGGAACAACCTGCCATGGAATTGGCACAAAACCCTCGAGAAGTGCAAGTGGCTGTTTTGTGCTGGGAGCATGTGGTGATGGCAGCCTGGCCTGCCATGGATTTAGGGAAGTGGTGGGGAGGGTGGGGGCCTCTGACGGGTGTTCTGGCTGTGTTGCCTGTACGATTGTTCGGTCCTGGTGCTGCCTTTTGGTTTTGGTTTCTAACAGTCTGTTCTCTCTTCTCCCCTGACCCACCACAGAGTTCTACCTTGTAAATACTGTTATTTGTATATACTGTAAATGATGACATCGGTGGGCACTAACCGAACCCGGGGGAACTGGGAGCAGACACAGACACAGAGCCAGACGCAGCACAAGCAGCGGCCGCAGGTAAGGGCAGTGTCCGTGGAAACCAGGTAGCTTAGAGGTGGAAACCTGGCTCTCCTGCTTGGCCTGGTGCTAATGGGTGGCTTGCCTAAGAACTGCCAGAGCCAGGTTAATTGGGCAGCCACTGACGCTGGTGTTTGTGTCAGTGTCTCCGAGTGGGACCCGATGCTGAGATTTCGGTTTTGTTTCCATCTGACTGTTCCCTCCTCACTTTAGTGAATGCAAGTGGCTGAGAAGCTGCCTACAGTGGGTCTTGGTGTTCTGGTGGTGGTAAGGTTTGCCCCAGAACAGAAGTGGTTCAGGTGGCTGTTGCTCCCCTGGTGTCATAAGGCCAACCAGCAGTACCTCCCTTTCTTTCAGACTCCCCTTGTTCCTTTTTCATCTCACTTTCCCCCCGGACCTGTCCTTTTCTGACCCTTGTTTGCACCTTTTCTTTACCATACTGATTCCTTTCCAGAGATCTCAGGGAAGTGGAATGGCCTTTCGAGGACAGTTTGGAAATGGGCTGCTCTGACCATGCTCTCTCTATCCATCTGATTTCTTTAGGCCACTGCGGAACAGATTCGACTTGCACAGATGATTTCGGACCACAACGATGCTGACTTTGAGGAGAAGGTGAAACAAGTGAGTGTGGAAAGTGAAGATGAACCCTGACGGGGAGGCAAGATCAATACTGGAAGGAAGGACTGTGAATGCTAGGGGGATGGGAGGGACACGTCTGGCTGCTTCCTGAATTTCCTTGGACTGGTTTCACAGAGTTGTATCATAGAATGATTTGGGTCAGAAAGGACCTTCGTGCCATAGGGACACCTTCCACTAGACCAGATTGTTCCAACCTGGCCTTGAACACTTCTCGGGATGGGGCAGCCACAGCTTCTCTGGGCAACCTGTGCCAGGGCCTCACCACCCTCCCAGGGAAGAATTCCTTCCCAGTATCCAACCTACCTTTGGCAGTGGGAAACCATTTCCCCTTGGTTCTGTCACTCCGGACCGTTGTCCAAAGTCTGTCTCCAATTCTCTTGGAGCCCCTTTCAGCACTGGAAGGGGCTCTAAGGTTTCCCTGGAGCCCTCTTCTCCAACCTGAACACCCATGGCTCTCCCAGCCTGTGTCCAGAGCAGAGGGGCTCCAGCCCTTGGAGCACCTCTGTGGCCTCCTCTGGTCCCGCCCCAGCAGCTCCACATCCTTCCTGTGCTGGGATGCCCCAGAGCTGGAGGCAGCACGCAGGTGGGGTCTTACCTGAGCAAAGCAGAGGGGCAGAATCCCCCCCCTCACGTGCTGCCCACACTGTGGGGATGAACCCAGGAAAGTGTTGGCTTTCTGGGCTCCCAGTGCACATCACCAGGTCACGTTAACTCACATCTCCGAGTCCTCCTCCTCTGGGCTACTCTCCATCCATTCTTCCCCAGCTTGTGTTTGTGCTTGGGGTTGCCCCAATGCAGGAGCAGCACCTTTTGCCTTGCTGAATTTCCAGTTTGTTCCCACAGGTGACAGTGTTGTACTGAGAAAAGGGGGTTATAGGTTGGGTCATGGTGAAACAATAGTAACTCAGAAATTCACGCCCTCAGTTACTCCTCATTGAGGGACATAGTTAGGCTGAGAAGGCTGGGGAGACTTTCAAGCCCTGAATTTTTTTTTTTAAGGATTTCTAGTTTGGGATTCAACTTGCCTCCTGAGAGACCCATAGAGATTTTGGTGCCATCTTAGTTTGGAACATGTTGACTGTGGTGTTGTCTTCTTTACAGCTGATTGACATCACAGGCAAGAACCAGGATGAGTGCGTGATTGCTCTGCATGACTGCAATGGGGATGTCAACAGAGCCATCAACGTGCTGCTGGAGGGCAATCCGGACACGGTAGGATTGGGGCCTGTAAATCTGGTGAGGCCTAGCTCAGTGTCACTGCATATTTGCAGGTGAGGCATCCTGTAATGTCAAGATAAGGAGAGCCACGACTGACTAGTTCCACAGGAGCATGCAAAGCATGACTGTGACCTGACTGCTGAACGCTGCTCTCCGTGGCCTTGCACGGACTGTGAGCTTGGCCCTAGGCTCGAAGGAATAGAGCGGGAAATGCAATAAGTCATTTCCTTCCTATTCATTTTGAATCCAGGCAGTTTGACAACAGTGCAGTGGCATCTGTATGTGCTTTCACACCACTGAGTGTGAAGGAACGTACCTTTCCCTACCAGGGCTGTGTGACCTGTGTTGAAAGGCAGGTATGTGTCAGGTCCTTTCTGTCAGAGTAACATAGTTTTTTTGTCTCTGGCCCTAAACACTTCTCAACAATGTCCTGACTGGTTTGTGCGCTGCTGCCCATGCCACGGTTTTGAGGGTCTTTTCGTGGTTTCTTTTCTGTGGAATCGGGCTTGGCTGCTGTCCCTCACACAGGTGCCTCTCTCAAGCAAGCCGAGGTCAGCTCCGTGAACAAGTGAGCGCTTGTTTAAGAGGAACCTTCTGCCTGTGTGTGGGGTGTCATTCCTTTTGTGGTATAGATGGCAGATTTGCAAGTTCTCTTACAGCCCAGAAAAAAACCTATGAGTATCAGATCCTCCCAAACTGTCACTGATCACAGGTATCCTCCTGGCACCCTGGTTTGGCTGGAGCTGACTCAACTCCTTGTAGAGTTGAGGCTCTGAATATCGCTTCTCAATATTATCTATTAGCTCATTTTTTTCCCCTGTGATGAACCCTTGGGGACAGGTGGGTGAGCTGGATGCCCCAGACTATGTTGTGTGTATCGCAGCTGCTCCCCAGTGTCAGGTGCTCTGCTTTGGCACCGACCAAGTTCCATACAGTGCACGTACCCGTTCCTCCTTGTCTTTAGAGAGCCCTTGCCATTGACAACGGATCAAAAGATCTATTAGAAAAGCTTTTTAGAAAGGGAAATAATATGGATGTGCATTGCTGAGGCATAGTTCTGCCATGATTGTATTTTTCTCTAGGTCTCTTGTAACCCGTGACTTCTAGTCAGAGAACAAACCTCTACCATCACAGCAATTCAATTTCCTAGAGAAACACATTGCTCAGGAGAGCAGCATCCAGGACAGGGTGCAGCACCCGGCGTTGTGGAGCAGCACTTCCTTTATGGGAGCAGCTGAGAGGCCCAGCAGCACAAGGTGTGCAGGGCAGGGTGTGGAGAGGCAGGCAGGGAGCAGGTGGAGAAAGCCCTAGGCTGCCACTGGTCCAGCCCTGTGGCCCTGCAGCTGCCACATCGCTGAGCACAGGCAGCCTCTGCACTGCCATTGGTCAAGTGTCTCGGAGCTGCTTCTGACCTGAATTCAGCTTGTGCAGCAATCCTGGAAAGGGAATTTTTGGAGAGAAAACAACCCTGCTAATTGCTTGGGTGCACTGGTGCTGATGAGGACAGCTTGCCTGCTAAGCTAGTTACTGGTAATGTATTTGAAACAGTAAAGGAGCAGGCGTGACCTTAGAATTGGATTAGGTTTGGTTTAAATTACAGTATGCCAAGTAAACATTTCCCAAGTAAACATGTTTGTAAGTTTTCTTTAGAGCAAGATACCTATGGAGAAAGACTTTGGGAGCCTTGGGTTTGATGGCAGTTTGTGCCACTATGTTGTTGGGTGTTTTGTCGTTGTCCCTGCATGCTGCCATCCAAAACCAGCTATTGATTTGCCTACCAGTTGTGTTTTCAGGTGATTGTCAGTGACTTGTGACTATTTTTAATTGTTTCACCAGCATGCAGCATCGGTTTAAGAGTATGAAACTGCTGCAGACTGTCATAAAATATATGAGTGCAGGCCCATGGCAGTGAGCTGGAGGCACGCTTAACTTTTTACGGTTGAACTTGGGATGAGTTGAATTCTGTGATGCTTCTCTTCTCTCCATCTGAGCTGCTGTTTCGGGAGGGGTTTTGTTAGTCACTCTGCATGTGAGAGAAGAACTTACTCCAAAATGTTGACTGCAGAGCACTATGGAACATTTACCTGGGTTATTCTGAGAGCTCTTGGTTGTCTGTGTGAAATGGCAGGGTTTTTTCCCCTAAACAAGGTAAATTTATCCGTGCTTTCAACTCTGGAAATATCATGCCCTCTCTATTGAAGAATTTTAGTGCAGAAATAGAAAAAGTCGTCTCCTGTTACTTCAAACTGCACGCCAGTCAGCTGTGAGAAAACTTTCCTTGAAGGAAGAAGCTATGCTGTGTGTAGACTCCTCAAATAAAAAAATTGGTCTGGAAACCATTTCTTCAAAAGCCCTTGTTATATACTCTGTAGCATGTTTAAATCTCTGTGTATTTGCATCTTGCATTGATAAAGCTATGATTAATTTCTTTCCCCTCTGCAAACCTTCAGCATTCCTGGGAAATGGTCGGGAAGAAGAAGGGTGTCTCAGGACAGAAGGAGAGTGGACAGACAGAGCCCAGTGAAGAAAGCAAAGAAAACCGGGAGCGGGAGCGGGATTTCAGCAGACGACGTGGCGGGCCACCGAGGCGGGGGCGAGGTGCCAGCCGTGGAAGAGAGTGTATGGACCTGCCCTTTCATAGCCCCCAAAACTCTCCCACTGAAGCACTTAGTGCTGTGTAACAGCTGTCTGTAAAGCTTCTCAAGCAGGCACATCTGTGAGGAAAACCATTCGTATGTGTGTGTGTGTGGATCTGATGCGTTCTCACTACCATCAGATTAAATCAAAAGTTCTGGGAGCCTGTGGTGACGTGGTCCCCTGTACAGCCACTGCACTTTGGGGTTTGAGGTCTGGTCTTGTACCCCCACTAAAGGAGAATGAGTCTTGAAATTGTCTTTGCATTGTTTTGTCTTTCAGTTCGGGGCCAGGAGAATGGACTAGACGGTGGGAAGAGTGGAGGATCTTCTGGAAGAGGCACAGAAAGAGGGAGGCGGGGACGTGGCCGAGGCCGAGGTACACGTGGGGTTTGGGGTCTGAGGGGGTGGGAGGAGAAGAATGGCAGCAGTGTATCTATCTTCCATGAGGTTCCAAAGCCTCTTTTATGGGAGGAATTGCCAAACTGAAAATAGACGCTTTAATTTTCCTGTCCTTGTGCTTATCAGTAGTGTTTACATGTTGCTTCCCCATCCTAAGCATGCTAGAAACATCACTTAGTTCTTGCATCCCATTTGTGGAGTTAGAACAAAAATCGAGCTTTGTTACAGAGGTGGGAAGTTAAAAAACCCAAAATGACTATTTGGCAGGTGGGTCAATGACTTGTTTGCAACAGAACCTGCATCCTTGTTCTTACATGTGTGTCTAAGCACCATCACTGGCTTGAGCTTTAAATACTTGGTGCAGAAATTATTTTTTCCACAAAATCTACTGCTCAGAAATTGTTGCTGAGGTCACACCCTGCAAAAATCAGAACCTGGGATTCAGTACTTATGGTTTGTGCCAGCTGGAAACCTTATCTGAGCCTGGAATCATGCATTGCTAATCGTGCTGCCAGCCAGCTGAGGTCATTCCCATCTGTCTAAAGACGCTGCTGGAAATCCCATCAACTCAGGAAGGTCCTCTCCACTTTCATATTCTGGGCATCAGAACTCTATATGTTGTTCAAGTGTTTCTTTTTCCAGTGACATAGAGCGAGGAGATGCTCAGAAGTGCCTATGTCTGTGTATTTACAGGTGGCTCTGGACGGCGAGGGGGAAGATTTTCTGCCCAAGGCATGGGGTAAGTTTCACTGGCACAAACCACAGCAAAGATAAGTCTGTGCATGAATAGTACTGTTTGTGTCAGTCATTTGTGTTCCCTTTTTTTTTTTTTTTGTTAATAAGGCCCAAACTGCATCATGCTAACTTAGATTTGGGGGTGACTAGCATAGCTGAAGCATCCCTGTGCTGAAAGAACTGCCTTGTGAGACTCTGAGATGTTTCATGGTCTGAATAACATCCTTGCTTTCAAAATGTTTAGCCAAAGAGAGAGTGAACATTTCCATCTTTGTATTTCTTATAGAACTTTCAACCCTGCTGACTATGCTGAGCCAGCCAGCACGGATGAGAACTATGGGAATAGCAACAACAACACGTGGAACAACACTGGGAGCTTTGAGCCGGATGATGGCACAAGTAAGTGTCAAACGCACATGTGCTGGTTTGTGTTGAGAGGGTGAGTGGATTTTGCATCCATTCAGTTGTGCTGAGGAGGTTCTGGGCAGGTCTTAGACTCAGGGATGGAGGAATGGGTTGTTAGTTCAGAGATGAATTTCAGTGACCCTAATTCTTTGCACCTTTGCACATGTTTTAGTGATTGCTCTGGAAATGGGGAGCTGGATGATTGCTGTGGGGTGCACGACAGAGGCACAGGAACATTCACCTCTGTTTTCCAGTAGAAACCATGCTACTGTTTGGAAAAGTGGTTTTTTTATAAACTGTAGTGTATTAAACAGGTACAAGTTCTCCTGATGTTAGGTGCATCCTCCAGAGAATATTACTTGGAGTCAAATATCTTGCTCTTGATTTCGGTACTAGGAGCATTCTCTCTTTCGTGGTCATCTTGCTCAAACTGCGTTGGGGCAAGACTTTGTTACAGAAACAAGATGAAAGGAATCTGACCTCCTTCCCTTTTTGAAACCAGCATGTGTTCGGTGGATGGTTCTGAACACCCAGCTGCCCCTGCACGTTCTCCTGCATTGGAAAACTGGTGCCCTGGGGTTTGTTTCACATACACACAGTATTGTGAGATACAGCAAACTCAGATTTTGCAGTGTGAGAATGGGGCAGTTGCATTGACCATAAGTAGCCTGTTTGTGGAGTGAGTTTCGGAGTGGTGGTTTGGTTGGCTTTTTTATGGAGCAGTCTCGCACCACTATGAAGTCAAACTGTTTTTCCACAATTTCTGAGTATTCAAGTAAATACCACATACTTGGGTGTAAGAAGTGTTCACACCCATGTTGATGGTGCTTTTGGCCACCTCTGTATTGCTCACATTAGCTGAAAAACTGATAGCTTTGGAAGAAGAGAATTAAAGTCTTGTAAACTGGGATACATTTTACTGAACATTGTTAGTGTCGGGGAGGGGGTGGGAGCTTGTTTGTGTGTATTTTGGTGGGTTTTGTTTGGGTTTTGGTTTTTTGTTTGTTTGGATTTTTTTGGCAAAACAGAGAGCTGTGGAAGGGGGAAAAAATAAGCCTGTTTTTTGTAAAACACCAGCAGATTGAGTGATCATCTTGGCAGTTGAAAAAGGGTTTTAAATACCGGAGGGAATAGTGTGGGCATGTGTTGAGGGCAGTGGGAGTGGACAAGCTCTATATGCTGGAAGTTTAACTGTCTAGTGGGAACAGGCTTCTGTGTGGATGGTTTTCTTTTTTTCTGTGTTGGTGTTTTGTGGAATTGTGGAACAAAGTGGATTAGAGTGTGGTTGGGGGGAATTGAAGATTTTTCTGACAGAACAAGTTGAATTTGCTCTAGTACTGCAATGCAGCTGTAAAGTTTATCGTGCAACACCGCTGGTCACCTGTGTTGTGCATGGTCATTTTTTTTCCAGTTTAGTAGCCACAGGCATCTCTTTAAATTAACAGTATCCACAGGTACAATGTGACTGGTGTATGTGGGGGCAATGAAACTCACCTTCACTTCTTTAAGTCAAAATTTCACTGGTTGTCTTTCTTTTCTTTTTGTTTTGTTTCAGGACTTGATTTCATTGGGGGTGAGGGGTCAAATTATCCCCGAAAATTTGACACTGCTCCTGGTACGATACATCCAGGCGCACTAACTGCCCCGGATACCTTTACTTTACAGCTTTTTAAAAAAACCCTGAAATATCTGTGGATATGTAATTCTTCTCTCTCTCAATTTGTTCATTTTAATGAATATTTGACATTTGTTCTGACTGTGCTTTTACTAATGCTGACACCTTGAATATAAATTGGGAGAGGCTAACCCCAACTCCAAATTTTAGCCTCAGCCACTGCTTCTTGGTGCCCAGAGCAGCTCCGTGTCCACAGTGCTGGTGACAGAGCATCCCACCCGAGGGCAGGAGGCTTGAGGCAGCTCAGTTGTATTCCCTTTGTCTTGCATCCTGAAAAGCTGTGACTTGCTGTTGCCCCCGTGCCATTCCTGCAGCCTCCCTGCTGTTCCTGCTCAGGGCCACAACTTCTGCAAGCGGAATGGGTCCGGTTAAACCCTCTCCGTGCTTTGCCTCTGCTCACAGCCACCGCTGGGTGAACAGTGCCCAGTGGCTGCTCTGGCATGTTCCTGCTGCCCAGCTGCTTCTCTTCGCCTCCCTGCAGTTGAAGATGATGGCGGATTTTGAGGTGACAGGGATGCTTGATGTTAAGGCTACTCAGTGCCTGGCCACTTTATTTCCTGTTCTTGCACCTTTATGCCTTAAGAAGCCAAGAGACACCCATGAGATGATCCAGTTTGCTGAATCCCATTGGTGTCCATAACAAGGCCAACATCATGTTTGACTGAAGTCTTGAAGTTGAGACTAAAGAACCTTCCAGAGGAGTTTGCCACTTGACTCTTGAAGGTCAGGGCAGGAGGAGGAGTGTTGAGGCTGAGGAGTCTCTTTAGCAGGGGCCCAACTGGCAGGCAGACGGTGTCTCTTGGTTCTCACCTCAGGATTAATCTTTAACTTCCACAGGCAGCACAAGGCCATCTGCTCCAGAGCTGCCATTGTGGTTTTGCTGCCCTTTGGCTTTGTTTGGATTTACGTTCCTCTGAGGTGCAGACTGGGGGCCTTTGAGTCTGTTGCCCTTCTAGGCTGAGGCAACAGGCCTGTATCCAGTTCCTGAGAGGCAGCAGACTGCCTGATGGGCTGTGGAAGGAGGAAGCTGGGTGCTCATCTCCCAGTTTAAAATGAAGAGACTGTGTTTGAGGAGGGATGTGGACATCTTGGAGACACAATGGGATCTTTTTCCTTCACCACAATCATGTTGGCACATGTTGTTAGCTTAACTGTATTTTTTCCTCTCTTCCTGGTTTGAGGACCTTAAAGACCAGCAGCTCTTTGAAGGGCTTTCTGAAAGCAGAGAGGAGGGCTCGCTGTTCAGAAGACAACCCTTCTGAAATGGTGTTAGAAGGGTCACAGTATTGCTTGTGTTGCAGTTCTCCCCTTCGGAAGAGCTCGATGGAGAGCAATATGCTTGGTTTCTTTAAAAAAAACTTCCCACTGTGCTGGCTGGGTGCTTTCTGGAGCATTCCTGGTCAATGCCTGGTTGTACATGGCAGTTCTTTGTTTTTCCATCTGCCCCTTTGTATGCAGGGAGCATAAACTGTGCTGAGTTGGTGTCCAATACTGGAGTAGACTTAC